CATACCATGACTTTTAAAACTTGCACCACCGTTCTTTCAGCCCACGCGCCTCGCTTTGCGCCGCGCAGCAACTTTTCCCTTAGCCTGCGTCTTTGGGCTAATGTCAGCTACTGGTCGTCTCCAGGTCAATGTCCCCATTACATTATCATGTACCTCCACAGGCTTGCCGGCGTGTCTCACTGCACGGCAGCGCTCTTGTGTCTGTTCTGGTTTTGTACTTGTGTCTGTTCTTGACCCGTACTTTTTCTTTTGTTCTCTTCCCACGCCTTTTGACTCCGTCTGCTTTGATTCCACCCCCCTCTTTACTACTACTACTACTACTACTACTACTACTACTACTACTACTACTACTACTAACTTTTCGCCACACAAACGCGTTTACACACAACCCCTTGCACACTCAAAGGCTCTCCCGGATGCCGTCCAACCAGCTCTCCCTCAACAGCGTGACGCTTCGTCGATGTTTTTTACACACCCACGGTTTTCCACACCAAAGCTCTTTCGCGACATCCAAAACATTTAACAGCCATTCCACCCCGCCGCCTTCTTCTTTTCAGATCCACTGGTTTTGGTCGCTGGTGCAGCAGTCTCCTGATCGAGTACAGTCGTTGGATCTGCATCGAAGACAATATATAACAGGTTCATGTCGGTGGGTGCCACTCGAGCTACCACTTACTCCAAAAGCTTTTGGCGACATCCAAAACATTTAACAGCCATTCCACCCCGCCGCCTTCTTCTTTTCAGATCCACTGGTTTCGGTCGCTGGTGCAGCAGTCTCCTGATCGAGTACAGTCGTTGGATCTGCATCGAAGACAATATATAACAGGTTCATGTCGGTGGGTGCCACTCGAGCTACCACTTACTTCAAAAACAACTCCAAGCAAGAATTCCCAGCCAACTCCGTATCGACTCCCATACACGTCTTACGACTCGGCCTCCACATCATAGTTTTCGACCTCTTCTGGCTCACCTACACCGCTCAGCGATGCTCAACGAAGCCATCACTGCAAATCAACGGGCGTATACCCCCTATCAAATTTTGCCTTGCGAAATATGCTTCAAGTACTTGGCAATCCATCTTGTTCACGTGACAACGAAAGAAAACCATCCACACATATGCAAAACCTTGTTAGAGGAAAGGACGACGCCCGGTCGGTGGCCTGCTGCAACTTTGGCATTCCTTCACAGCAGTAACATCACTGACGCCCAATGTGATATTGTCAGCAAAATGACCAACAATTCGCCCAACATCAGCCAAACTTAACACTTCTAACCCCAAAGACCGATATCTTATTCAACAAAATTAACCACCAAGACTTAGCCGACCATCCCATAACATTCAAGATCTACACCGCCATTGTTTCCGCCAACACACCTCGCTTTGCCGCTTTGTCTCCGCTTCTTGTGCTGCGCAGCGGCTTTTTCCTCCGGCTGCAGCTTTGGACTGGGGTGAGCTACTGGTTTTCTTGCGTTGAAGTGGTCATTGCTGGTGCAGCGGTCTCCTGATCGGATTCCATCGATGGATCTTCGTCGCATACCATATATACCACAGGTTCATATCGGTGGGTGCTACTTAAGGTATTACTTACTTCAAAAACAAATCCTAACAAATCTTCCCAGCCAACTCCATATCGACTCCGATACATGTCTTAAGACTCGGCCTCCACATCATAGTTTTCGGCCTCTTCTGGCTCACCTACACCGCTCAACGATGCTCAACCAAGTTCTCACTGCAAATCAACGGGCGTATACCCACTATCCAATTTTGCCTTGCGAACTATGCCTCTGATACTTGGCAATCCACATTCTTCATGTCACAACGACAGAAAAACGTCCACACAGATGCAAAACCTGGTTAGAGCAAAAAATAGTGCCACAGTCAGTGGCCTGCTGCAACTTTGGCACGCCTGCACAGCAGTAACATCACTGACACTCAATGTGATTTTGTCTACAAAATGATTTCACCAACTATCCACATTACATATTGCCCCATATTTGCCCACCATCAGCCACATTTAACCCTTCTAACCCCAAAGTCCACTATCTTATTCACCATGACTTGGTGGACCATCCATCCCATGACTTTCAAGATCTGCACCGCTGTTGTTTCCGCCAACACACCTCACTTCGGCGCTTTCTTTCCGCTTCTTGCGCTGCGCAGCGGCTTTTTCCTCAGCCTGCGGCTTTGGAATGGGGGTGAGCGACTGGTTTTCTTGGGGTTGACGTGTTCATTACCATTTTCATGGCAATCTTGCGGTGCAATACCCTCGGACTCAGTAGACCTGACATTGAAACACCCTGCTTGGATGAACCCAAACATGATACCTTTTTAGATGTCCCAATACTCATCGCAACTTCTTTGTGTAAACTTTTGCTGCATGCGCAGCCATTCCATCCCGCGGCCTTCTTGTTTTCAGCTTCACTGGTTTCAGTCGCTGGTGCAGCGGCCTCCTGATCGGTTACAGTCGTTGGATTTTGGTCGAAGGCCATATACCACGCGTGTATGTCGATGGGTGCCCATTTCATATTCTCCCCACTAATTCAAGGGTTCGTGGCATCCTTCGACTTCGTGGCTGGGCCCTCGGTATCCGCTGCGCGAAGCTCTTCAGCCTTTGCCTGCAGCAACCATGCTATGTTTTGGCAGCAGGAGCAAACATCAGGATACAAAATTGCACTCGTGGCATATCCCGTAATCCTCAGTACATTGGGTGACATCATCTCCGTTTTGAACTCTGCTCATGAAACGCAAAACTCCCTCAAGTACAATCTAACTGCTCTGCGAAATTTTAATTTACGCACAGCCATTCTATCCGGCAGCCTTCGTCTTTTCAGATTCACTGGTCTCGGTTGCTGGTGCAGTAGCCTCCTGATCGGATACAGTAGTTGGATCCTCGTCCAAGACCATATACCAAAGGTTCTATCCCCAATACTCTACGGGTTCTTACTCCAGCTAGAACTTACTGCAAGGACACATTCATTACCAGCCAACTCCATATCGGCTGAAAGACATATCTTCACACTCGGCCTCCACATCATCGTTTTCCGCTTCTTGTGGCCTACCTTCGCAACCAAGCCACCACTGTACATCAGCGGATGCATCCCTCCACATTCTTCATTTGACCACGAAGGAAAAACGTCTACACATGTGCAAAGCCTTGTTAGAGCACGAAATATTCCAGCAGTCGGTGGCCTGCTGCACCTTCGCCACTGCTACAACTTTGGCGCGTTTCATCAACCTGCTCCTGCCGGAAGCTGACGCTCATGCTGAATGCGTGCCACCAGTTCCGCGGTCCTCTCGTCTTTTCTTCCGACGCTTTAACCGTTCCAGTCCATCATCCTGTCGCTACGCGACAGATAGCAACAAACAAAACCGCAGCTTCTTCCACAACAAAACTGACAGAACAAATCAGGACATCACTGGCTCCTCCTTCTTTCGTCTCCGTTTCAACTTCGCCATGGCACAGGGCACTATGCTAAGCCCACGCTGCTTCAGACAACACACCCAATTTTTACACTCGACCCGTTGTTCCCAACCCAAACAACAACAAAAACAAGGAAAAGAAAACAGGCAAAGACGTTGCAAACATCAAAACACGGAGAACCCAAAAACGTTTCTTTCCCATGCGTTTCCTATTGCCAGCGTTTCGCATCCATTTCACAAGTCTTATTGCAAACTATTTCCTCTCCGTCCAGCATGCTGTCTCGCTTCCTCCCAGCGAAGCTCTCCGCAACTATTTCCACTGCTTCATCCCGTCCAGCATCCGGTCTCGCTCCCTCCCAGCGCAGTTTCCCCAAGCTATTTCCACGGCTTCATCCCGTCGAGCATCCGGTCTCGCTCCCTCCCAGCGCAGTTTTCCCAAGCTATTTCCTTGGCTTCATCCCGTCGAGCATCCGGTCTCGCTCCCTCCCAGCGCAGTTTCCCCAAGCTATTTCCACAGCTTCATCCCGTCGAGCATCCGGTCTCGCTCCCTCTCAGCGCAGTTTCCCCAAGCTTGGCGTTGTTTAGAGGTTGCTTGGTTGCTTTTTTGTGGCTGTGGTTGTGTTTCTTGTGTTTCCAGTTGTGGTTGTTGTTGTGGTGGTGGTTGCTGTGGTTGCGGCTATGGTTGTGATTGTTGCGGTTGTGGTTGTGGTTGTGGTTGTGGCGGTGGTGGTGGTGGTGGTGGTGGTCGTGGTGGTGGTTGTGGTGGTGGTGGTGGCGGTTGTTGTTGTTGTTGTTGTGGTGGTTGTGGTTGTGGTTGTGGTTGTGGTGGTGGTGGTGGTGTTTGTTGTTGTTTGTTTGTTTGTTTGTTTGTTTTTTGGTTTGTTTTTTGGTTTGTTGGTTTGTTTTGTTTGGTTTGTTGGTTTGTTTTGTTTGGTTTGTTGGTTTGTTTTGTTTGGTTTGTTTGGTTTGTTTGTTTGGTTGTTTGTTTTCTTGTCTCACTGTTTTTCGTTGTCATTGTTTTTGTTGTTGTTGTGGTGGTGGTGGAGTCACAAGTCAATATCTTCGTCGGTCCAAGCAAACTTTGAAATGGCTAACAGCACCAAAACCCTTTCAGCTAGGTTTGAACTGTATAATGATTTGTTGATGGGACGCAAGCTTTTCATATGCAGTGTACTTCCTGATCAGTGCATCTAGAAGCCCGGTTAAATCGAATCTTTGGATGAACTTGCCCCTTCCTTTGATAACCTTGATCCTTTAAAACGGTGGTGGCTTCAGTTTGTTGGTGAGTCATATGAGTTATAGCTTCAAATTGGGATGCCGATGCGGCGAGACCTCATGGGAGAAGCACCTCTGTTTTTGCACAGCGAGCGGGCATCTCAAAGCTTCGCTTGGCAACTGCAGTTGGGACTTCAAGTCAGAGCGCCCATCCGTGAGGCTGAGTGTATTGAACACAAGTTGCATGGCATACAGGATTGATCAGACTGAAGGAAACAAAAAATGGAGATAGACGGCAAACTTTGACAGCCTCACAGCCGCGCCGCTGACTTTCAAAATTTCAGCGGTGTCCTCATTCAAGCTCTTACCATGGCAAAGAAGATGCGTCGCTCTTCTCTCCGCCATCTTCGTCTTCGTTTTTGTCTTTCGTCGTTTTGCGTGGCTTTTTCGGAGCTGGCTCTTCGCCCTCCCTTTCAACGGTGCCCTCACTCGCGCCAGCTTGCTGGCCAGTTTTCGGCTTTGACCTCTTCTTCGGCGCAGGCTTGGGAGTGGGCGTTTTGGTCTCTTCGGTGCGAGGTTCGGCTACACATTCTGGTCTGTAGTGCGAAGACCCCTCTTTTTTCATTTCACTCAACACGAAGTCAGTCAACACCACTTCAACCTTGCGAGCGTGCCGTTCAGACAGCGCTAGCCCCCAGTAAGGTGTTCTTTCCAGCACAGAGGCTTTCGCCAGGCTTGCCTGGCCGACAGAAAGATCTATCCTTGGAAATTGCTCATGCGGGAAATGAAAAATATAAGACATCATATAGTCGTTATAGTTGAAGGGGTGAAAGCACATGAAAAAACATACTTCTCAGAGCAAGAATCACTGCGCGGCACGAATGTCCCTTGATAAGGTCGGAATAGAAGCTGACCGGAAGAAGGGCGGCAGAGAAGATCGATTCGGAGTCTTCCTGCTGCTTGGTGCCGCACTCTTCCAACTTGGCTTCCTTCTTGGCCTGGGCTACCTCAGTAACCTCCACTGCGCGGTCTGGGCTGAGCAAGTCGACCTTTTCAGTCCTCAGGGTTTCAGTTTGAACATTAAATGCCGATCCTGAGAATCTTTGTAAATGGCAATGACACACACACATACATACATACATATATATATATACCTATATATATATATACATAAACATATATATATATACCTATATATATATATACATAAACATATATATATATACATATATATATACATATATATATATATACATAAACATATATATATATATATATGCATATATATATATATACATATATATACATATATATATTATATATTTATTTATACATTATATAAATATATATAATACTATAATACACAATGAATCTGAAATGCTGTTCAAAGTCCTGCTCGCGTGCCACAGTTCTGAGGCTTGCATTGCCTTGACGGGCCCAAAGACATCGCTGGTGCAATAGCCCTTGTGATGTTGGTATTGCTTTTCCGGAATTGCTTGGGTCAAGCAATGATGTGAAGCAAGGTGATATGTGGAATAGGTCGAGTATGAGCCTCTGGAACGCTTCTTCCTGCTTCGCATCGAGTCATCGTCATACGTGACGAGCAGCTGCTTGATTTCAGCATCCATGTCGTCCTTCTTGGCGGTTGCCAAGCGGAAGACACTCTGGCACATAGCCCCTGCCCTGTCCATCCCTGCGTGGAGGGCCACCACATCTCCCTCGGGAACATTGGTGGCCTCCCCCTCTTCTGTGCGACGCTGCGCACCTCGCCCCAGGAGGGCACCCTGCACTAGTTTACGCATTAAACCAATGTCGGGCTGGAATTTTTTGCGGAGCGACTCTTGACAGTTTGGGCCAATGGTTTCACGGAGCAGGTCCACGTCCAGATGGATTAGAACGGAATTCTCACCCACCACTCCTCGGATGTCCTTGGCCGTGCTTTGCTGCACAGCCGACGCCACTCCATCCAATGACTTCGGCTCCACCTGGATGGAGCAGTAGGTCCGAGTCACCTGGTTGGCAACTGCGCGCCAGTAGGCGTTGCTTCCTTGAGTAAAGGTCGTGGGCGCCTTTCTCATGTTCAAAAGCTCCGCAGAGTCAGCCAGTTCGGCATCTTCTGGCTCACTGTCTTCCACAATGCCTGCGGCAACTTTGCGCTCAGCTTCTTCGTTGGCCAATGTGTCTTGAATTTTTTTGAGCTCCTGGGCAATGGTTTCACTCTCCAAAACAGCTTCTGCGCTGCCTCCGTGTCGACAGGAGGAGCGAATGAAGTTGTCGTACTTTTTGTCATAGACCAATGCCTGCATGCATGCGCTGCGAGGAACAAATTAAAACAGAAGCAGTTGGAATGTCCGCGGAACCGAAAACAGCATTTTAGAAAAGAGGCCTGCCTCCACCAAGGAAAAGACCTCGATGCCAGACTTGTGCAAGCGAGCTTTCCAGCACAAGTCCTGACTCCCAGAATGAGCACGATACTCTGAATGGCTCATCAGGACCTCTTTGAGAAGCATCCGGTCGCTTTCGACCACTCCAGATTTCGGAAGATACTGCTCAAAGAGGTGCTCCAAAACCTGGGCTTGTACGATGGCAGTTGTGGTGTGGTGGTGCCCCCCGTTTGTCCATGGTGGTTTTTGTGTAACATTAAATTTTATGATTTACGTGGAACGAACACATGTATGCTAAATATTTAATCCAATAGGCGTTCATGTATCTAAGACTATTAAACCTTTGTCGGACGCTGCACTCCTGAGCTTATTGGGGTTCGTTTACCGTTACGGCTTCAGATGACAATGTCCACCATTTTGTCCATGGTGGTGTTTATGCATTTTAGTGGGGGGGTCATCTAAAACTGTAAGACAAGATAGTGCCTCCCAGATTGTCCATGGTGGTTTTTGCGCAACATATGAGTGATGTACGTGGAATGAATGCATGCAAAATATTTAATCTTATGTGGGGGTGCATCTAAGAGCAGCAACGCAACACTCCTGAAATTCCACTTGAAACATGTTCATCCACCAAGCCCAAACAAGCTTGGACAACTCAAATCTTTTTTGGCACACAGTCAGCTGCTTTGTCAGAGCTGGACGCCTGGACGCCCCAAAAAAATCCTGTGACGCTTTGTCGTGCGACGCTGATGTGGCACGAGGATTGGCAGCCGCAGCTGCTGTAGCCCATCACTGCTTCCCCTTCGCAACACTCGTCATGTTGCGAATGAAATGCGCCTGGGCTTGGAACCAGTCCGCCATGGCAGTCATTCTTGTGTCCGCCTCTCCCGAACTTGTGTACGTCTGTCCCGAACTTGCGGACGAGTCCTTTTTTTTTTGGGCTGTGGGCGGCGGATCGATCTTGGCTGCCGCAACCTTTGGTTTGGCCGCTGGGACTTTGGGCTGCTGCGGCTTCTCATCCTTATCCTCTTCATCAGAGGTGTAGTACGAGTAGCCGGAGCTACCTGGGGAATCCTTGCCGTCATTATCATTGCGGCGCCCCGCAGACTCAGGCGCCTCAGGAGCCTCCGGTCGTGGGCGGCTTGGCCCAGGCTCAGCAGCACGGGACTGCCCGCGGTGCTCATGCTCCCGGCGGTCAGGGTGCTCGCGCACGCGCTTGTCACGAGCGCGTTCGCGGCTCCCACGACGACCACGTGAGCGCTCACGATGACGTGCATTGGACCGCGCGCGGTCACCCCGCAGGGCAGCATCAGCCTCTTTCAGCTCACGACGACTTCCCTTGGACCGCGCACGGTCGCCCCGCGGGGCAGCACGACCCTCTTTCAAATGAATGGGCGCCGCAGGGGCAAGAGGTTTCTTTTCTTTCCACTCCTTCTTCAACTCCTTCTTTGCCCTTAGCCCGGCATCATTCCAGTGGATCCCACCACGGTTCCAAATCAAGTACTGACGGTGCTTAGCGGAATTTTGGATATGCATGCGCATGCCAACTTTTCCACCACGGATCGTGCCCTTGCACACTGAGCACTCAATCGTGTCAGGCTCGTCCTCCTCGTCATTCTTGAACTCATTTTCATTGTTCGGAGGGGCAGGCTCAGGTCCTCCTGCCGGCGAGGCCGGCCGCTCGGAACGTCGTGCCGCCTTCTTGTCAGCTGACTCCGACCTGCCGCTGTCGCTGGACTCGGGTCGCGAACGACTGCGGGATTTCTCCTTGCCGAGCTCCTTGCTGTTCGTCGCCATGAACCTGACCAGGACCAGGGAATACAAAAAACTTACATTGAAATTTTGAGCAAAAAAATATACCCATTAAACAACAGGCGGTCCGCCAACTTAACACCTTCTTTTCTGGCCCGCAGGCCCGCCCGCAGGCGCTCAGTCAAAGCCCACAGGCTTGTTCGGCCCGCAGGCCCGCCCTCAGGCGCTCAGTCAAAGCCCGCAGGCTTGTTCGGCCCGCAGGCCCGCCCGCAGGCGCTCAAAGCCCGCAGGCTAGTTCGGCCCGCAGGCCCGCCCTCAGGCGCTCAAAGCCCGCAGGCTAGTTCGGCCCGCAGGCGCGCCCTCAGGCGCAAGAATCATTTAACCCGGTGATGCACGGATGCATTCCCCCAGGACCGAAGCCCGCAGGCTATGACCCCGTCCGATTGTTTTTTTTTTCATTCCGCCACTGCTTACCCCCCCAGAAAAATTGCCCTGTGCGCCTTGCAGGACCACGGGGCTGCTCCAGGGGTCACGGCGCCAGATTTTGAAGGTCAGTCAGCTGCGGGCTCATCGATGGTGTTTCGATGACATGTCAAAGATGAAAAATGGGGTTCTCTTATTATGGCTACAATATAGCTAAGTTGACTTATAACTTGGTTAATTAAGGTCTATAGGGAATATAACTATAGGTAATGGTGTTTATAAACCAACTTACAACTGGGGGGCATCACCTTGTATTTTTTTCATGAACTTGAATTCTTATCATTATTATCGTCGTTAGTGGTGCTAATTAATTGGAATGTAGATATTATAGTGTGTGGTGAGGACAAAGCAAGAGTGGTTTGGAATGAAAGTATTGAACATCAACAAGCTGATTCTATTCCTATGAAATTCATCAACGCCGGCTCCGACTTCCATCCCTCCCGGTATTGCAAGCCAGAAACCTTCAACTTGCATTCGCACAGCTGGATAATGCCCACGTGGTGCTTGGTGCCCATCAAGCTTCCCTTGGTGATCTCTGAAGGGGACATGTCCCCGTGCATCACAAAATCATGCACACAGGACAAGACCCACTCCCGCGTCTTCGCCGAGGTAGGCTTCGTTGCCAAGCAAGCCAATTTGGACATCATGTGAAAAGGGCTCTGTGTCCCGAAGGAGGCTTCCATATCAAGCAAGAGTTCAACACAGCGGGGAGAACTCAGCACGACTCTTTGTACACTCAAGGCACCGCTGATGAAATTTGCGGATAATGTTCCACATTCTTCATCATCCTTTTTGGCTTTCGCGGACCCACTCACCACCTGCTGAAGACCTGCAGCCAACAAAGCCGAAGAGAGCTGGCTAGGTGTTAGCTTCGAGCTGCTACCAGATTCAATCAGCGCCTTCAGCTGGGCCACTTCCATGGCACTTTGCAAGGCTGTCCTAGAGAGGGATTCGTGTTGTTGGACCACGGCCTGCCGCTTGTTCCAAGCTGTTTTCCACAAGTCGCTCTGCTGAATCTCATTGAAACTTGCCGGGACGCTCAGCAACACAGATTTCCATTTGCTTCTCAGCTCGGCCCACACTGCGCTATCCAATGCTGATGAGAGCCTGCAGTTGCAAATCATTAACAACAAAATAAATAGCCAGTATAAAATTTCGCGAAACAACATATTCAAAACAGGGGTTGGGAATTGAAAATGACAGCTTTGGTGCAAGACACTTGATAGCCGAAGCACAGGCGTGCAAAAGGCTGTGCAAAAGTTCTTCTGGGCTGATCATCTGCAAATTCCGAGGCTCATCTGTCAGATCCGCCTCTGAACATGCGATTTCAATCATGCGATCCGTCATGAATTTTGGCTGCGCACCTGGAAAATGAAAAGCGCTCAGATCTTCAACTCTCTTCCGGCTCATGGGGACCCCTGGGGTCGCACTGCTCAAAGCGTTGATCCAGAATGCAGACACGCTGCATCTGTAGACAGAGTGCTGCTTCAGGGATGTAATCCCCTTTTGACGATCATATACATCCTGGACACCGCTCTCTTGGCCGCAGCCAATCGGCAAACAAAATTCGGTTGCCAACTGCGGTCCAAAATGTTCAAAGATCGTTGCGAGGTCCTGCTGGACCAGAGCGTAGTAATGCTTGTTCGTCGCGTCGTTCAATTCAGCATCTGACACAGAGTCTCCCTGGGAAGGCACAGGGGCCTTTGCTTTGGCCTTTGCGCTCCCTTGACTTTGCCGAGCAGATTTCTGAGCAACCGCGTTAGCGGCAGTCTTTCTCGACAAAGCCGCTTCCGCTTTCAACTTCTGGAGGGCCCTTTTGACAGTCAGCTCCTCTTCCCCGTTTGCCACACGGGTTTTCAACTGTTCTTCTTCTGCTTTGTTCAATTTCCATGAACTTATGTTCTTGAGCTTTGGAGCCGCAGCGTCCGACATTGCTTACTATTGACAATGAGGAGGAAATGACTTTCGACGGGACACCCTGGTGATTAAGTTAAAAGCCGAAATGCTAAAAGTATTGAAAATGCCACTGTCAAATGACATCAAATTCAGCGGTACGAGCGTCAAGCAAGATGGAAGCCGCCAGGTGACAATGTCAAAGGTCACACGGGCAATGGACATGAGCTTTTTTGAAAGCCAAGCATCAGTGACTGCAGTCTTGCGTCGGTCCTCGCATCATGCATAGTATACATTTAATATTTAATATGTACTGTAGCATCTAGGTATAGTCATCTACCGTCGGCATTGGTCATGAATGTATATATATATATATGTGTATGTATGTATGTATGTATGTATGTATGTATGTATGTATGTATGTATGTATGTATGTATAAATGTATGTATGTATGTATGAATGTATGTGTGTATGTATGTATGTATAATTATTTCACGTTTTGTTTACAGCGTTCCTCAATGATGGGGATCACATTCTGTGTCGTCTTTATTTCTCAGCGACGACTCTTCCATTGGTAACGCTTAGAGGCAGCAACGCCAGAAGCACAACCTGCGAAGTCCTTGTGATTGTCAAAACCCAGCATAGTAGGTAGCAAGAACAGCGCCAACGCCAACGCCAACAAGAGCAGCACCGAGGACAAGAAGGAGGACGAGGACGAGGACGAGGACGAAAACAACACCAACGCCAACACCAGCACCAGCACCAGCACCAGCACCACGACCACCACCACCACCACCACCACCACCAACAACAACAACAACACAACAACAACAATAACAACAACAACAACAACAACAAAAACAACCACAAAGACAACCACAACCACAACGACAAAGACGACAAAGACGACAAAGACGACAAAGACGACACCAACGACCACGACAACGACAACGACAAGGACGACAACAACAACAACAACAGCAGCAACAACAACAACAACAACAACAACCAGACCAACCCCACAACCACAACCACAACCACTGTCAACTAAGAAAGAAGATAATCCGTAACCCCGTGCGACTCATCGAACGTAACGTTAGGTCGGGTAGCTTGATGGGTGTTGCCCAGGGTCCTTACCCAGAGGCTGCCTAGGCAGCCTTCGGGTAAGGACTATGGGGCAATCCAGGTTCCATAGACGCTTGCAACGCAACCCATATTCCTTAGCCCCGTGCCCATACCCCTTACCCAGTGGCAACCCAGGCAGCCTCCGGGTAAGCACCCTGGGCAAAACCCATCATGTTACCCAAGCGAACGTTACAGCACGTCAACGTTCCCATAGTCTTTACCCAGCGGCTGCCCAGGCAGGTTCCGGGTAAGGTCTACTTTGTCGACTGGTCGCGACGTTTAACCGTTGCGACGTTTAACCGTTGCATTCGGTATGTTCCATGATATGTTAAACCATCGTCATCATGACATTAGGTTAATGTCGTGATGACGATGATGGTGTTGGGTCTGGATATGAACATCATGACGATGAAAATGATGATGGTGTCCATGATGTCAATGATTTTGGAAATGGCGATGATGATGATGATGATGAGGATGATGAGGATGATGATGATGATGATGATGATGAGGAAGATGATGATGATGCTGATGCTGGTGATGGCGATGATGATGATTGATACTGCATGAAATCAGTAATGCTCAGAAGCCGAGATACAAAGCGCGCCAAATCTTGGTTTGCCGTACAAACTGCACATCCATTTTTTATCACAAATCCTGTCTTTGCCCTCACCTTTTGTACTTGTCAAAGAGCTTCTTGCTCAAGTTGACGCTCGCCTCACCCAATGTCACTTGCAGCCAAAAGTCTTTGCCGGAACCCAATTTGGTTAGCCCACATGCATCCAGCGCCCGCCTTAAAACGGACATCAGAACATTGACGGACATGGCATCTCCCAATGATTCATCCACCGACCTCTTCGGCAAGCGATGTAGCTTGGCTGCCTCTTCCATGGCCTGAAGGATTTGAGGCGGCACCCCTTGGAGCTGGGCGGCTTCCGCCAGTGTCAGCCTTCTCCGAAGTTTTGGTATGTAGTAGCCAGCGGCCTTGAGCCGTGACTTTGTCAGGCATGGGGAGGGGTTGGGCATGACGCTTTGAAAGCGCTGCGAAGAGCCCACGTCTAGTATGTATCCTTTCTGAAACAAACGGTTTCCTAACTTCTCTTCGTAGAATGGAAGTGAAAGCACTTCCGTGCCGACTTTGTCTTTCTCCAAAAAGGCATGCAAGTCCGCGTGTTCTGACCTGGCCGGTGGAAAGGACAGCTCATGAACTAGGGACTCTCTCGCCACGGCGATCAAGTACATACGAGACCGAGAATGTGGGATTGTGAACTGCTTCGTGTTGAGCACGCGGATCTCAAAACGATAGTCCAGCTCTCGTAAAATTTTCTGCATGAATTGAAAAATTTTGCTGTGTTTCTTCTGCAATATGGCTGCGACCTGTTCCAAAATAATCGCCCGCGGGCGTTTCTCTGCTATGTACATCAAACCTTGCAGAGATACGAAGCCTCGGTCGTCCAAAACTCCACGTTTTTTTCCAAGCGTGGAATATGATGGGCAAGGGTACCCGGCAGTGTACAAATCAGCCCGGGGTGCCGCAGCATTGTCGCGCCCACAGATGTCAGCATAATGAGAAACTTTGCGTGTGCCAATGCCACAAGCAGCTGCCACCGCATCGTGCAGCATCATCTTTTTCCCGCATGACTCGCAAGTCATTACAGAATCCACCCGTTTTTGAAGGCCGAACAACCTGAGAGCAATGAGATCTGAACCATAGGAGCAGTCCGAAGCACATCTAATTTTGCCCGAGGAGTCCGCGGGAGACCACAAACCCAGCCGAGCTTTCCATGTCTTTGCCAGGTCATTGATGCGGGAAACCGCGCTGCGAATCCTGATTTGATTGTTGCCAGTATGGCTTTGGGAAGCCTCGGCCCTATGCTTTTTTTTCGTGTGAGAGGAAAGCACTTTGAAACGAGGCATGGCATCTACGAAGCTACCCCGCCTTGAACTGCATGGCTAGCAATGTGAGAATGACCCAACTGCAGTGTCTGTCCACAAACCTTTCATGAAAACAAGAGGGATGACAACAAAGTCATGAAGACTACGGTGCAATAGCGGGCGCGGCAGTGAAGTTTCAAAGATAGGAAACGTATAATATCATAGGAAATGAGGAAATGTTGAAAAGGTAGCTGCGTCTCTGAATCTCTCAATAGGCGCGCGGTCATCAGGTCTTTGGCACAGGCTTCCAAATGAAAAAAATCATCTGTCCAAGGAAGTCTGAATAAATTTCTCTTTCTGTCACTGCTATTGATATATTTCAATAGGCGCCTAGGCTAGGCGCGTGGTTCGCGCGCCTAATTCAAGTTTTTGGTACAGGCTTCCAAATGAAAAACAATCATCTGTCCAAGGAAGTCTGAATAAATTTCTCTTTCTGTCACTGCTATTGATATATTTCAATAGGGGCCTAGGCTAGGCGCGCGGTTCGCGCGCCTAATTTCAAGTTTTTGGTACAGGCTTCCAAGAGAAAAATGTATCTCTGCAAGAAATCTGAATAAAATTCTTTTCCTGTAAATGCTATTGATATATTTCGCTAGGCTAAGCGCGCGGTTCGCGCATTCAAGTTTTTGGTATAGGCTTCCAAGAGAAACATGTATCTCTGCAAGAAATCTGAATAAAATTCTTTTCCTGTAAATGCTATTGATATATTTCACTAGGCGCCTAGGCTAGGCGCGCGAACCACGCGCCTAGGCTAGGCGCGCGGTTCGCGCGCCTAATTCAAGTTTTTGGTACAGGCTTTCAAGAGAAAAATGTATCTCTGCAAGAAATATGAATAAAATTCTTTTCCTGTAAATGCTATTGATATATTTCACTAGGCGCCTAGGCTAGGCGCGCGGTTCCGCGCGCCTAGGCTAGGCGCGCGGTTCAAGTTTTTGGTATAGGCTTCCAAGAGAAAAATGTATCTCTGCAAGAAATCTGAATAAAATTCTTTTCCTGTAAATGCTATTGATATATTTCACTAGGCGCCTAGGCTAGGCGCGCGAACCGCGCGCCTAGGCTAGGCGCGCGGTTTGCGCGCCTAATTCAAGTTTTTGGTACAGGCTTCCAAGAGAAAAATGTATCCCTGCAAGAAATCTGAATTAAATTCTTTTCCTGTAAATGCTATTGATATATTTCAATAGGCGCCTAGGCTAGGCGCGCGGTTCGCGCGCCAAATTCAAGTTTTTGGTACAGGCTTCCAAGAGAAAAAAATTAGGGTTTAGCCAGCGCCGAGCTTTGTGGATTTAGGGTTTAGCAATGGCAAGCGCGCAGAGTGTGTGGATTTAGGCATCCCCAGAAAATTAAAAAAAAATATGCAAACTTGCAACAATGATCAGTACTGTCGAAATCTTTTTTCCCGCCGGACTAATACCCCATACCAGCAGGTTTTGGAATGACAAATTGTCTCCCGCCAGGGTCTTGCCAGGCGAAGTCAAAGTCCCCCGCAAGCTGTGCCAGTGCTGATCCAGGCACTTGACTTGACATCTACAAATTTTTGAGCAGCCCAGGCAACTAGCTCATTGCCATCAAGACACTGAATCCTGGACTTGCCCAGATTCAGTGCCTCCCCTTTTGCCCGTAAGAGCAAGCAGGAATTCTTGGGCCCTTTGCTCCGAGCCTGCAAGTCATTCATTGTCACAGCCTTCCACCCATGAGCGCACGCTTCGCGCAAAATCATGGTCAAGCCAGGCTCTTGATTTCGAAATCCATCAGTCACGTAAACGAACACACCAAGCTGACTTCCAGCACTGTATGACAGTTTCACTCCGTTTCCACCGTCAAGAATTGCCGCAGACAAAATGACCTTACCGAACAAGGCTGCCATGAGTTGATGCTTCCGAGGGATCGTGTTGATGTCCGGTATGATCAAAAGAGACGCTTGCCTCAGATCCTTAGTGTCTGAAGCCACAGAACCACATCTTTGTGATGATATTCTTTACAAATGTGACTGCTTAAATTAATGTGAATGCTTTAAATAAAACCAGGTACAGCCAAGGTTCGCCTGTCAAAGATACACCACACTGTCTCAATGGGCTAGTCCAATCCTTCGCCGCGTCAGTGTTTAAAGCCGGGCTGGGCAATCCCTTCAGCGCCCATGCCACAGTCTTCTTGGTGATGCTGGCTTCCACTGCAGCGTGCCTGCTGTGAAAATTGGACTTGCGAGCCCGGTCATTGGAAGCGTCTGCTTTCCTTTGTTTCTGAGCCTCAGCAACTACTGCTTCTGTCACCTCGGAGTTCAAAAGCAAGCCATCAGAATAAGCCTCAGCTTTTCGCTTCTTCTCCAATCGACTCTGTTGCTCCACTTCTTTTCGAGAACTTTCAGGCAAATCATGTGAAGAAATCTTCCGGGGAGGCATAATCAACTGAGCCGCAGCCTCCTCCACAGCTTCCTTTCGTTTTCGCATCCAGTTCTTGTGGGATGACGGTCTCATTGGACCTTTGCGACCGAAATCTAACCGCTTCCTCCTGCCCTCAGAAGACCGGGACTTGCCGCTTTGGCTCAGCCGTGTGTAGATGGCTCGAGCTTCCTGCAGCATTTCCTTTTCCTGCGCTTGGTCCAGAGTGCACCCCATGGCAGCACAGACCCTTCGGTCCGTATCTGCCTGGGCACTTGCCAATTCCACTGGTGATCGTTTCAATTTTGAAAAGAGCTGCTCAACGCCGGAACTGGACGCTGACCATGCCAAGAAGGCGCAAACGACCTGATGAAGAATCGTCATGAACAATTGATTGCCAATGATGTCAAGGCTATTGTAAAAAATCGACTAACATAAAATTAAACCAAAACTTATTCCTACTACTTGTCCCAGCGACGCGATATAAAGCATCTTGAGGATATTTCCCCTTGAGACGAGAATCTCGTATGCGCAACAAAACGTTCGCCCACGCCGTGCGATTGTCTTGTCCTGTCTTCTTCTTCATTGCCTGGGCCATAGGCAGGATTGCAACATACTGTTGCGTCAGGTCTGCCAGGTTCACCCCGAAGGCGCACGCCAGACGCGCCAGACTCTTCTCTACAGTGCACTTGTCGCTGTCACTCATGCTCCCGCCGAGATGAAAGACATCAAAAGCGCCAATGAGGTGCCACGACGGAAACTCGGCCTTCAGAGTTGCTTCTGCCCCACACACCCATTCCTGGCGACGAAGGATGTAGACTGGTTAATTAAAAAGCAAGTATGTCATACAAAGTTTTAGTAATAATCCGTAAATGCATTGAAAAAATACATGTTGATGTAATGTATATTCAATTCTCATGTGAAATATGGACCGATGTGAAACGCAAATTCTTTCCAAAATTCTTTCATAACGTTCATAGCCCGACGCTTGTCACAGTCTCGAACTCGCACTTCTCTTGCCTGTCCAGCAATGAGAATGCTGAAAGGGGCCCGTGTGCAAGAATCCAGCAAATCTTTTGCAAAGGTAGGCAAAGTGAATGCCTCTTCCTGAAGAAACAATGCGTGAGTGCTCAAGAGAAACTGCTGCGCTTTGGTGTTGAGAAGGGAGATGTCGCTCTGCTCGTCGTCGCAGAAGCGAGTGAAGTCCATGGACGTTGCCGCGGCATCTGCACAGAGTGAAAGCAGGATAGCCTTGTAGCCAGAAAAATGTGTCAGAATCTGGGACGCCCAACGGCCTGACGAATCCCGAAGCAATGCAATCTTATGCAAGAGGGTCAGCACACACCTCATGTTTTCTGTCACCCGTGACAGGGGATGAGCATAGCTTCCGAAGCGATGCTTCGCAGCAGCCATGCTGGCTCCAGTTCCTCCTTCTTCTGTACCCTTCCCATCTTTTTCAAGAATTTCATTCCACCACTTGGTGTACAGTGGACTATGCTGCACCTTTTGACAGAAGCTGTCCTTTCCTGAGATGAACTCATCCATTATAGCCTCTAGCTCAGCGTGCTTTTGGAAAGGTCTCTTCAGCAAGCGGGTGCTCGCATGCGCAATGTCACGGCCAACTATCTTAACATGCGGCAGCTCCTTTTCACATTCACTTGTCAGTGCAGATGGGCGTTTGCCTCGCAAGACATTGGACGCCAGCTGCTCCGCAGAAGCTGCATCGGTTACCAAAATGGTAGTCCGCTCGCGGATCCTCTTCTCGACCGAGTCATCGTATGCTGGAAGCTCCGGGTCAAGGCAGGAACGGGGAGGGTGGAGCATCGGCTGGCACAAATCATGGATGGCTTCGACAGTGCAGTTGGCCAAGCTTTCGGAAAAGCCTTCGGTGGGCTTAAGGCCAAGCACTCCCTGAACGACCCTCACGCTCGTCCCTCAAGAGAGCAATTACTTTTGCTGTTTTCAGCCAGCGACGATTCATGTCCAGTATTGCCTCGGAAATGGACCAGCGTATGTTGGTCTTCTTGTCGGAAGACACACCTCCATCTCTGCAACTTCCACCTTGTTGCATCTTTGTCCAAGCGTCCCGGAACTCCGACAGAGGCGGCGCCAACAGATTTACCCGCGAGTTCGTCCCATGCTGGAAGCTTTGCTCTGCCAACTTGTGACCCTTGGAGTCTTCATGCCGCTTCAAGCAGTGCAGTCTCAAAGCTGTCGGCTTTAAGTCAAAGTTCGCCCAGGGGCCTCCAGCGTCAAAAGCAGCACAAGCTGCACAGCCCACCCTTGCCACTTTCCCTTTCAAAGTCACTTGCAGCCATTTCGCATTCCGCAAGCGCTTCCGCCAGCTGTCCTTCTCCTTGTGCCAATGACACAACCCGCAGCGGCCAGGCTTCAAAGTGCAAGACCGACTGTGCTGGCTAACCAGTTTCGAAGGAAGAAGCGTTGGCTTCCCCATGGCGCCTTGTGATAAACTGAAATAAAATGAACCATGCCGTATTAAATCCAATATTGCGTGAAGAATAATGATCCGTGATTGATTCTTGTGTGTTCAACATGTGGCCATTAATTTGTCACCCCCTAATTTCAATAAGCCAGAATGTGCAGGCAAATCAAAAGGAAAGCAGTGATTGTCACGGGACATGCAAGACCATGCTAAGAAGTCATAATTCCCCTTTAAAGTCAATGAGCCTGCTGCCTTTTATTAGCTAACAGCCCGCAGGCTACGGCACGCATGCCTTGGCCCGCAGGCCTGGCCCGCAGGCACTGACCCGCAGGCCCGCTCTCAAGCGACATAAAAGCCCGCAGGCTCAAACCTTAATAATGAAATGACCTGCCACAAACCTAACTCAAGCCCTGGCTTACGACTATTACAGCGAAAAAAAATCTGCGTTTTATCCCGCCAGCGGCATCGCGATGCACATATATATTTCTAAAAACTCAACCATTATGGCCCCTTGTCAAGAATGGCACGGCCCAAATGGTGCAAAACTCGAGGTGAACCCAAGCTTTCATCTTCATTGGACTCGGGGGTGCTCAGAGATGAGTCCAACATTGACAGAATCTGCCGCAGCAGAAACATTGTCTGTCAAGCGAACGGCAGTTTCAGCCACAGCAGCTTGGCCGCGTTCGGCGTTGCCTTCTGCCAGAAGTGCACATGTGCGCCCAGCGTTTCCTGATGCCTCAGCATCAGAATGCCGAAGCTTGTTTTCCAACGCATTTTTTTTCTCTTCGCACACGCGTGAAATGTGGTCCCACACTGCACGAAGCTTGTTGTTCGCTTTCTCCAGGTCACGCTTGCACTCTGCCCAGTCAAGGTCAGCTTCCGGCCCAGGATTTTCTGCCAAAACGTCGTCCAGATCGTCTAAGGCGATAACTGCTTCTCGGGCTGAGGTGTTCACATTGACCCACCACTGGAATTTGTCCAGCTCCGACTCAGGTCTGCGAGCCATGACAGTCGGGGCTATGTAATGTTGTCACTGGTCTGAGCCTGAACCAAAAACTACGATTGCGACCGATGCTAGACTCCCAATTCCAAGCTCGGAAAAATCGGCACCACAACCTTGACAGATGCAAAACAAATAGTGAAAAATAAAAGATATGCGGTCAACACTGTCAACATCTGGTTTCGCACTCCTGTCTCTTTGTATGCCCACTTCTGTTTTGAAATTTGGAAATATCACAGAATACAAGCAAAACCCGCACGAGGCGGCTGGCGGAAGTTTCCAGCAGCAAAGACTGTTATACTATAGGAAAGACAACGTTTGCCTATAGGAGTTGGAGTGAAGCCTCACGTCTTCGAAACTCTGCTCTGAAAATTCGTTCTGATCTTGCCTCAGCCCTTTTCAACTGTGACCACCACTTCTCAGCTCTTTGCAGCTCTTCTCAGACCATCTCAGTTCATGTGAATTCTTCTCCCAACTCTTCCCAACTGTTCTCATTTTTTTCATCTCTTTCCACCTCACCTCTATTCTTTTTCATCGCTTTTCATCTCTTCTCCTCTCGACTCTTCTCACCTGATGCCTCACCTCACCTCAACTCTTCTCACCTGCTGCTAGAAGTAGAGAAGGCGTTTGCTTGATGTGGCAGCCCCCCTGGGGCGCTACGAACCCCACACAACAATCCACAACAATCCACACAAGACAAAAAGACAGCAAGAACAAGAACAAGAACAAGAACAACAACAACAACAACAACAGCAGCAAACTTAACAATTACGAACCACGAACCTGACGACAACAACAGCAACAACAACAACAACAACAACCACAGCAACCACCACCACAACAACAACCACAACTGGAAACACAAGAAACACCACCCACAGCCACAAAAAAGCAACCAAGCAACCTCTAAACAACACCAAGCAAGCTATTTCCACGGCTTCATCCCGTCGAGCATCCGGTCTCGCTCCCTCCCAGCGAAGTTTCCCCAAGCTATTTCCCCAAGCTATTTCCACGGCTTCATCCCGTCGAGCATCCGGTCTCGATCCCTCCCAGCGCAGTTTTCCCAAGCTATTTCCACGGCTTCATCCCGTCGAGCATCCGGTCTCGCTCCCTCCCAGCGCAGTTTTCCCAAGCTATTTCCACGGCTTCATCCCGTCGAGCATCCGGTCTCGCTCCCTCCCAGCGAAGTTTCCCCAAGCTATTTCCACGGCTTCATCCCGTCCAGCATCCGGTCTCGCTCCCTCCCAGCGAAATTTCCCCAAGCTATTTCCACGGCTTCATCCCGTCGAGCATCCGGTCTCGCTCCCTCCCAGCGAAGTTTCCCCAAGCTATTTCCCAAGCTATTTCCACGGCTTTATCCCGTCGAGCATCCGGTCTCGCTCCCTCCCAGCGCAGTTTCCCCAAGCTATTTCCACGGCTTCATCCCGTCGAGCATCCGGTCTCGCTCCCTCCCAGCGAAGTTCCCCAAGCTATTTCCCCAAGCTATTTCCACGGCTTCATCCCGTCCAGCATCCGGTCTCGCTCCCTCCCAGCGAAGTTTCCCCAAGCGATTTCCACGGCTTCATCCCCTCCAGCATCCGGTCTCGCTCCCTCCCAGCGAAGTTTCCCCAAGCTATTTCCCCAAGCTATTTCCACGGCTTCATCCCGTCGAGCATCCGGTCTCGCTCTGTCCCAGCGCAGTTTCCCCAAGCTATTTCCACGGCTTCATCCCGTCGAGCATCCGGTCTCGCTCCCTCCCAGCGCAGTTTCCCCAAGCTATTTTCCCGAAGCTATTTCCACGGCTTCATCCAGTCGAGCAACTTTTTTCCGGTCTCGCCCCCCCAGCGCAGTTTTCCCCAAGCTATTTCCACGGCTTCATCCCGTCGAGCATCCGGTCTCGCTCCCTCCCAGCGAAGTTTCCCCAAGCTATTTCCCCCAAGCTATTTCCACGGCTTCATCCCGTCGAGCATCCGGTCTCGCTCCCTCCCAGCGAAGTTTCCCCAAGCTATTTCCACGGCTTCATCCCGTCCAGCATCCGGTCTCGCTCCCTCCCAGCGAAGTTTCCCCAAGCGATTTCCACGGCTTCATCCCGTCGAGCCTCCGGTCTCGCTCCCTCCCAGCGAAGTTTCCCCAAGCTATTTCCCCAAGCTATTTCCACGGCTTCATCCCGTCCAGCATCCGGTCTCGCTCCCTCCCAGCGAAGTTTTCCCCAAGCTATTCCACGGCTTCATCCCGTCCAGCATCCGGTCCCGCTCCCTCCCAGCGCAGTTCTCCAAGCTATTTCCACGGCTTCATCCCGTCCAGCATCCGGTCTCGCTCCCTCCCAGAGAAGTTTCCCCAAGCTATTTCCACGGCTTCATCCCGTCGAGCATCCGGTCTCGCTCCCTCCCAGCGAAGTTTCCCCAAGCTATTTCCACGGCTTCATCCCGTCCAGCATCCGGTCTCGCTCCCTCCCAGCGAAGTTTCCCCAAGCTATTTCCCCGGCTTCTTCCCGTCCAGCATCCGGTCTCGCTCCCTCCCAGCGAAGTTTCCCCAAGCTATTTCCCCAAGCTATTTCCCACGGCTTCATCCCGTCGAGCATCCGGTCTCGCTCCCTTCCAGCGAAGTTTCCCCAAGCTTTTCCCCCGACCTATTTCCACGGCTTCCTTCCCTTCCTTCCCTTCCTTCCCTTCCTTCCCTTCCTTCCCTTCCTTCCCTTCCTTCGCTCCGTCCCCGCGAAGTTTCCCCAAGCTATTTTCCCTTCCTTCCTTCTTCCTTCCTTCTTCCTTCCCTTCCTTTCCTTCTTCCTTCCCTTCCTTCCCTTCTTCCTTCCCTTCCTTCCCTTCCTTCCCTTCCTTCCCTTCCCTTCCTTCCTTTTCCTTCCTTCCTTTTCCTTCCTTCCTTTTCCTTCCTTCCTTTTCCTTCCGTCCTTTTCCTTCCGTCCTTTTCCTTCCTTCCTTTTCCTTCCTTCCTTTTCCTTCCTTCATTTTCCTTCCTTCCTTTTCCTTCCTTCCTTTTCCTTCCTTCCTTTTCCTTCCTTCCTTTTCCTTCCTTCCTTTTCCTTCCTTCCTTTTCCTTCCTTCCTTTTCCTTCCTTCCTTTCTTCCTTTTTTCCTTCCTTCCTTTTCCTTCCTTCCTTTTCCTTCCTTCCTTTTCCTTCCTTCCTTTTCCTTCCTTCCTTTTCCTTCCTTCCTTTACCTTCCTTCCTTTTCCTTCCTTCCTTTTCCTTCCTTCCTTTTCCTTCCTTCCTTTTCCTTCCTTCCTTTTCCTTCCTTCCTTTTCCTTCCCTTCCTTCCCTTCTTCCTTCCCTTCCTTCCCTTCCTTCCCTGCCTTCCCTTCCCTTCCTTCCTTTTCCTTCCTTCCTTTTCCTTCCTTCCTTTTCCTTCCTTCCTTTTCCTTCCTTCCTTTTCCTTCCTTCCTTTTCCTTCCTTCCTTCCCCTTCCTTCCTTCCTTCCTTCCTTGCTTGCTTCCTTCCTTCCTTCCTTCCTTCCTTGCTTGCTTGCTTGCTTCCTTCCTTCCTTCCTTCCTTCCTTCCTTACTCCCTTCCTCCCTTCCTTCCTTCCTTCCTTGCTTCCTTGCTTCCTTGCTTCCTTGCTTCCTTGCTTCCTTGCTTCCTTGCTTCCTTGCTTCCTTGCTTCCTGGTTTCCTTGCTTCCTTGCTTCCTTGCTTCCTTGCTTCCTTGCTTCCTTGCTTCCTGGTTTCCTTGCTTCCTTGCTTCCTTGCTTCCTTGCTTCCTTGCTTCCTTGCTTCCTGGTTTCCTTGCTTCCTTGCTTACCTTGCTTCCTTGCTTCTTGCTTCCTTGCTTCATTGCTCCTTGATTCCTTGCTTCCTGCTTTCCTTGCTCCTGGGCTTCCTTGCTTCAGTGCTTTCCTTGCTTTACTTGCTTCCTTGCTCCCTTTGCTTCCTTGCTTCCTAGCTTCCTGCTTCCTTGCTTCCTTGCTTCCTTGCTTCCTTGCTTCCTTGCTTCCTTGCTTCCTTGCTTCCTTGCTTCCTTGATTCCTTGCTTCCTTGCTTCCTTGCTTCCTTGCTTCCTTGCTTCCTTGCTTCCTTGCTTCCTTGCTTCCTTGCTTCCTTGCTTCCTTGCTTCCTTGCTTCCTTCCTTCCTTGCTTCCTTGCTTCCTTGCTTCCTTGCTTCCTTGCTTCCTTCCTTCCTTCCTTCCTTGCTTCCTTGCTTCCTTGCTTCCTTGCTTCCTTGCTTCCTTGCTTCCTTGCTTCCTTGCTTCCTTGCTTCCTTGCTTCCTTGCTTCCTTGCTTCCTTCCTTCCTTGCTTCCTTGCTTCCTTGCTTCCTTGCTTCCTTTTTTCATGTCTTGGATGTCTTGGATGTCTTGGATGTCTTGGATGTCTTGATCCCAAAAAAATAGGGTCATAGGCGGCCAGAAAAAGATTCGCACGGTCACCTTTTTCTCACGGCTGTTGCCGACTAAGGGGGCCCGTCCACCGAGATTCATGATCAGGCCCTGTGGATTCAACGTTACTGTACATCAAGCAACGTGGTTCTTCGCAGTTTGATCAAACGCTCTTAAAGCTGACATCCATAGAGACATCCATAGACCATATTAGATATATGTAGATATGGTAGATCTATTGACCATGGTCCTTTATTGACCATGAATCCTACCATTCACTTTCCGGCAACATCGGAGAGCGCAGCGGCCCCACATACTTTGGTAGACCATCGCCTCGTCAACCATCATCAGCCCAGAAGTCGGATGGGTATCTCTCAAGTTAAGGCACTAGTAGGCACTACACCTGCAAAATTCATGGAGTCTTTGCATGGCAAAATTTTGGGATCAAGAATGATGAGCCATATGAAATCCATATGAGCCATACCTATTCAAAGCTGCAAACTGCCTACGTCAGAAAGTTCACGCAACTTCACCAAAAACATTGAGGCCACTGCGTAAATCCATAACCCGATTGGCATAGTAAAGATGGTGCATCGGCCTTCCAGTCCAGGCCAAAAACCAACATGTGGTACCTATCCTCAATTAAAACCATTGACCAAATTCGTTGCTTACCAAGAATTACACAATCAAAACCTCCTACCCATTTTGAAGATGTCACAAAAATCGACGTTTGTCACTGAAATTCACTGACATATCACCAAAATCCCTGGAGTGGCCCTCAAATTTCACCCATTTTGACCAATGGAGGACCACCTCAACGGAGATTCAGTTCCTCGCCAGCTGCAAAGCAAACCCAATGGTACCGCTGCAACTTTGCCTCCGCCAGCGATTTTCGATGCGGGACCATTGGGGACCATCCAACGGCCATGGTCTCAGCAAGATACAGCAAGATACAGCAGGACTGACGGGGATTTTTTTTCTGCGCAATTTTTCCGCGTGTCCATGTTCTTTCGCGTGTTTCTTGTTGCGCTTTGTTTTCTGCGTTGTTCTGTGTTGTAAGACAGAGACCAAAGGGAGAAAAGCGGAGGAAAGGCAGCAAGAGGAAGCAGAGCAAGACAGGCGAGAACACCGTGAACACCCAATGAATCCAATGATTTTCCAAAAATTGGTGGTGGAAAAGTGCCGTTGTCGACACCTCCAGAATAGCTATAGCTGAGATGTCCCGGGTCCTCCCAGGAGAAGTCCACGCACTGGAGCCAAACACGAAGCACATCTTGTCCGTTCAACGCCTGAAGGAACAGCCGAGCTTTGGAGCGTTTGGAGCTTTCGCGAAAATCATCGAACAGCCGTTGAACTATGTTGAACTCATGGATTGTCAGACTGTCTGCGCCATGTTTACCGGAGAATTCGTCAACAGAAACGATGTGATGAATTGTCTCTGCTCCCCATGGTCGTCCCCAAAATTTCCCCAGGCGCATCATTTGTGACGTCAAGCCGATTTGGGAAAACACCCAGAGAGTCGTCCTTTGGATGTTTGCAAAGATGTGAGGTTCGCCCCAGGCTCCATCGATAGCTGCACCTGGCCACAAAAAAAGTGAGGAAATGATGAGGACATGATGAGGAAATGTGAAATCCACCCCGTGTTTTCCATTCTACATATTCTACACACTCCTTGTGTTCCTTCAAGCAGTTTTCGAAGTTCGGAAAATCATCTGTAGACTTTGTATGATCGACGTTACAAATATGCCAAAGACTTGGTGAACCCCACAAAGACCAATGGTCAACACACACATGTTTATCATCTTTTTGGAAAATGCAAAGATGGATCAACATGGATTTCGCCTGTCGGGGTTTTGGTCGCTTCAAATCCACACCTCTAAGTTTCGGGACTTTCTTCTGGATGTGTGAAAGCTGATAAGTCCTTCAGGTACAAAGTTATAAATCCGTATAAACAACAAAATCTAAAACGAAATGACATGAAGTAAGATGAAGACGAAATATTTATAAATAGTTCAACAACAGAAACCAACAGATTTTTTCCATGAATTTGGGTTGCTCGGTTGCTACCACTGGCGCCTCTGCAGCGGTGAAGAGCGCTTGACAGGAGAAGGGTGCCCCGGAGAGGCGACGACAAATGGAGCAGTGGCAGTAGCCTGGAAGGATTAGAAGGTGCCCCGGTGATGTTTGTTGGTTCACAAAAAAAAACATAAAAAGAAAAAGAAAAAAGAACTAGTTTGATAAGTTTCATATATCTACTATAGTTACTATATGTTACTATAGCTATGTTAGATATAAACCATCGATACAGTAAGTAGATAACCAACTTAGGTAAGTTTTCACAAAAATTGTAGAGTGGAATGTTCGCACTTATGGACTTATTGCCGGCAGTCTTTACTCATTCAAATTGAGGTGGGAAATAAGTGGTGGTTATTTTCATAACCCCTTCAGTTTTCATAGGTTTGCTACCCTCTGGTTATTTAACATAGCCATGGAAAATGGCCTATTTATAAATGATTTTCCCATTAAAACCTCCATTTATAAGGGATTTTCCATGGCTATGTTAAATAACCAGATTGCGAGGAAACCAAATGAAACGTACAAGATCCCACCCTAGGTTCCAATCAAGACTTGACCGACGCTTCCTACATGTCTTGTGACGTCAAGCCACTCACCGCCCGAGCATCGTCATAGCAAAGAACTTTCACTTCTCCGCCTGCTGTTGGAGAAAAAAGAGACCAGAGACATCTCCCACATAGAATTCCATGTTTGCAAAGGTCCTAGTGACCTAGTGTAGTAGAAACACTTTCCGGCCATCAGCATGCCATCGCAGGGATTTTTGGATTTTTTTTTCGTCCAAGGTGCAGTGACAGCGTCCTTCATACCTGGGCTGCGTCGGCGCCGCAGATGGCAACGATGGCAACGATGGCTGCGGCTCCGCCGGCGGCTCCGCCGGCAAGGCGAAGCTGGGAGGCAACCTGGAGGCCGGAAACATCCACACTTTCAAGGTGCCTTTGGGATTTTATAAGTTGGTTTATAACTCCAGGAATTATGATATATCATTACATATATCTCCACTCAGTTACTATTACATATATTACATATAATACATGATATATATATATATATCATATATATATAATCTTTATATATATATATAACATGATATAATATATAAATATATAAGACGTTTATTAAACACGACTATGATATATGACATATACGGCACTGTGGTTTATAAACCAACTTATAACTGGGAAACCAACAGCCTAAGCAGGGCTAAGCATGGCTAAGCTCCATGCTGTTCCGTCGCCTTCAGAACCCGCCGCGCGTTGTCGATGGCATCGATGGTGGGGCCTGTGATGTTGCAACCAGGATCTACCAGGATCTACCATTAAAATTGGCAAAGGTCACCAGGATCTAAAGTCCAAATGTGAATATGATATTAATATATATATATATATTTATTCATTTATTTATGTATATTGTATGATATACTATATTATATTATATACTATATATATATCATTGTCCATGAAAAACAGCCACAGTGAAGTCTGCTCATTCCAGTCATGGCTCAACCAGGTGCCGAGGCACAGTCCACATGAATTTTGGCGCAACGACTTTGGGAGGCCCATTTTTCGTAGAGCTTGTCGTAGTAATCCAACATCATACCGGCCACCTCCACCAAGCGAAGCAGAGAAGCACTGAGAAGCACAGCCAGCGAATTTCGCGTCCAGAAAAAAATCACTGAACGAATGTAGAAATGGCATGAACGATTCACTGATCACATGATTTACCCATTGAATATGTATTTTTATATATATTATATATATATATATATACGTCTACGATATGTGTTTCCCCCTTCAAAACACATGCCACAGATGTCCCATGTCAGGGCCTCGTTCCAACGACCTTCGTCCAACAGACGCAGGGCATCCTTCACCCGCTGCCCACCCAGTCGCTTCGACAGGAGATTTACACCTCGTGCTCAGATCATCATGGCTTTTGCTGGGCAAACGAGGCTTGATTTGTTGGGGGATCATTTGGAAATTGGGAATATGATAGATATATATATATATATATTTATTTATTTATATAGTTATTTATTTATTTAAAAATTATTTATTTATATATATATATATATATTTATTTATTTATCGAATTATATTTACTTATTTATTTATATATTTATTTAAATATTTATTTATTTATATATATATATATTTATTGAATTATATTTATTTATTTATATATTTATTTAAATATTTATCTATTTATTTTTTGATTTATTTATTTTTTTATTTTTATATTTATTTAAATAGTTATTTATTTATATATTTATCTATTTATTTATGTATTTATATAAATATTTATTTATTTATTATTTATTTATATATTTATTTATTTAATTTATTTATTTATATCCATTTATATTATTAATAATAATAATGATAATTATAATAATCATGATAATAATGATAATGATGATAATGATAATGATAATGATATTATACATACATACATACATACATACATCCATCCATCCATACCATACCATACCATACAATACAATACAATACATATACATATACATATACATATACATATACATATACATATACATATACATATACATAGACATAGACATAGACATAGACATAGACATATACATATACATATACATATACATAGACATAGACATATACATATACATATACATATACATATATATGTATGTATAAATATGTTATTGATGAAAAGCCATTGGAAATGGGGAGGAAAATCCGGTTAATATTCCGTTCATCCAATGTGAGCTGAGGAATTTCCATGGTCACAGAGAATAGGCCAGCCATGAAACGTCTCAACCTCTGGGGGAGTACCTGAAACCAATCCTGCATTATTGGATGCTTCAAAAGTAGACAAAAAACTATCAACGTGGTGCTGTTTATGCCTGTTTTGGTCGGTTGCTGTGGTGTTTTCCCCTTTTCTCACGTTCGGAAACTTCCTACGCTACATCCACCATCTTCCACCATCTTCCACCAGCAGCTATGGTGCTATTCTTGAGTTGCTCGAGTTGTTCCACCTTCGACAGATTCGGATCGTTGCAGTAGTCATCCACCAATCTGCGGACCCTCAACTCCTTGCTCATGGTCAGCATCACCAGAGCTCCTTGCCGTGGCAGCTTGACCAGCAAAAAAACTGCTGTCCTCCTTTAGAACTTCAAAAAGTCAAGTGAAGTACTACCAGCTTACTTTTTGAAATGTGGTCATGTGGGAACTCTTAGTAGCTCCTAGTTGTTTATTGACGATCGAAAATAGATACCCATAGGTCCGAACCACTCCCTCCATTCACCACTGGATAGGGTAGTTTTTCAGTGTTCCCTTGTGTTTCCTTAGACTCTGAAGACCCATGCGATGGTAAAAATTGGATCTTCCGTCTTAGAATACAAGGATATGTATACCCATGGATACATGGAGAATACCATAAAATCCATTAAAAACAAGATTCCCAGGATATTTCCCATACCGTCCCATTGATTTTTGGGGGGGAAGCCATGGGATATCCAAAAAATCCAATAAAAAGCGCTCCTGTTGCATTGGTGATCCAGGATAGAATCCCCAAGGGAAGCGATGCCTGGGGATAGAAATGAGAGATTTCTTTGGCATCTTAAAAATTCTCCTGTCAGAGAGAATTTACTGCATTTCTTGATATGAAATTTGAAGAAACTCCAGTCAGGATCATCTCTAGGATTTCTCACAGTGATTTTCTTTGGAATTCCAGGAAAACCTGTGCATTGCCACGCCTTGCCCACATGTTTGCCCTCATGCTCAATCCACAAAGGCTTCTTAGGAGTGACTCGTCTCACCGCAAAGGCCAAGATGTTCTCAAAGGCCTCACGAGTCGAAAATGTCAAAATCATCATCGTGTTGTTGGCTGCCTATTGTGGTTTAATACATGAAAATTTATCTAGTGGATGAATATGTTTTTGATATGGCATCAGAATAAAATTGGAATGTAATCTTCAACCAATAGATGTTCAAGTAATGTGAAACAAATCACCAAAATGGAACATTAACCAACCCCTGAACCAGCTGGCCACACCATCTGCCGCCTCGTTACTTGGCTGAGGCTCCGAGGTAGCACCTAGGGGCCCCTTGAAATCTGATGATACATCCGGATTGGTCCAGACATCAGATGTACTCCAACTCCAACATCCAATGGTTACGATATGTGATGATATGGGTTTTTCATCAGGACTTTCGCAGAATCCATAAAACCGACATAGCATGACATAGCCATATTTTTTGGGGGTATACCCATTCAACAGCCATCAAACAGCCATCAAAGGGTCACTGAGTTCGGCTCCAAAAGCAGACCCCCGATGCCTGGCCAATCCCTGCGTGAATCGGAGGCACGGCTGGATCAGTTTCCACAAAAAAAATGGTTCTTCTCATGGTGAAGAATCAACCAGAATGAATCAAACATATCAACATTGCACCATAGATATGATTAGATTTATATACGTTACAGAATGGAATGGATCAAATATGAAAACATCAAGCCAAAGCAATGCTTTGACAAAAATCAGCACTGTTGCCATGACAAAAAAAAAATCCGCCGGCCTGCCGGCGTGTCTTGTGGATCTTGCCTGTTCGTAGTTGTACTGTCTGTTTTGTCTTTGTCTAGACTTTCCCCTTGGCGCAGATTTTTGCCTCGTCCAACATGAACAGCTCTTCTTCGTTTTGTCTTGATCTTTCCTTACGTTGTGGTGGGCTCAACTCTGCCCACCTCTCGCTCAACACCGGCTTGGTTTTGCACATCTTGCTGTCATTTCGATGGTTGTTTCCGTTTTTTGTCGTGTTTTCGATCGGTTTGCTCCGTCGCTTCTCATATCCAATGCTTGATCCACTGGCTTTTGTGTCGAACACCGTTTACACGCCTGACCTTGCTAAATATGGCCTTTTCGAAAGCCGTTCTCAATATGGCCTTTTCCAAAACACTGGTTTACACACATGTGTTTGTTCAAACTTAGACCGTGGTTTGAACAAAACCAATGTTTTTGCGTCCAAACCATCCTTTACACAAAGAGCTGTTTTACACAAAAACCGTGCTATTCTCAAACACCATGTTTTACAGAAAAACCATGTTCTTGCTGGGCCTGTGCAAGGGCTGTTTGCAGCCAGGATAGCTCTTGTTAAATACCCTCCGGTAATCAAACGTGGCGCAGGCTACCTCCAAATCCAGAATCTGCTGGTCCACTTTCCGAAGTTCATGGAGGATGGCGGTTTTCCCCACACCCGTGCAGCCACCAAGAACCAAGACCTCAGAATGGCTATGAATGGCCAGCAGTTGGTGCTACTATTGGTTTCATTGTGTATATATAGATACACAGGTTTTTTCCTCACTGATAGCCATACAGTGAGCATGTTGCATCTCCCATTGCACTGTGCAGCACAGATACACAGATACACCGATAGACAGTTAGATGTATACATGTATGTGTATGTACATATATATATATATATACACATGTATATATATATATACATGTATATATATATACATGTATATATATATATACATGTATATATATATATCTTGATTTCTGTACAGAATCCACTTGTATTGAGTACAGTGCACCGCCATCTATTTTTTTGAACCTTTGTCACAGAATGAAGGATTGCAAGTTTAGCCAATTCATCCACATGCAGGAGGAATATATATATATATATAACTATATGTTGTGTATAAGTGTATATACATATACATATGGTCACCCCCCACACCAGGGCCTATCTTGAGCATTTTTTGGTGGTATTCACAGAAAAAAATAAGACTCTTATTTTGTTGTCCATTTTTTGTGTTATTTATACAGAGCCACTCAAGTACAGTACCACTTGGCCCTTGCCCCATTTCTTTTGCAATGCCTAAATAAAAATTAACCGATGGCACTTTTAAGCACATATTGTACCCAATTACGCACCAAAAATTACCATAAATCCATAAGGTCATGTTTTTATTCAGAAGTTCTTGGATATAATCTAGTTCCATGCAATTCCCATGCAAGACCATATTTATTGTGTAAGGGTCACCTTGTGAATGATATCTGTTGTCTGCTGTTCTTAAGGCAATTAAGTAAATACAGAGTCATAAGGCAAAGGATCATTATGCATACACACAATTCAGGAATAGACATTTTAAAATATATGTGCACCCTAATAGCACTGAAATAGTTGCATAAACCCGTCCACCATCCCTTGCAAAATACAACGTGTTCTGTTCTAAAAGATGCAGGGTGCCTTTAAAAGAAGTACAGCCTTCCTTTGAAGGGAAATATGTTGCTATAATGTTTAGCATGAGTTTAATGCATGGCATTCCTGCTCTAGAATGCAATGTTGCATGTAACAATGAACGGCCCCCTGCTTGCAAAGAAGCAGTGTTCGTTCATTTGCAGTTTTCCTTTGAGATAACACAATGGTTTTTCAATAAGCTATACCCCTACAGAAAACGGAGGAATCCCTAAAGGGTGCAGCATTCCTTGTCAAAAAGTGTAATGATCTTTCAAATGGTATAGTATCCCTGTGAAAAATAAACAATATGTTTGTACCATATGTAGCATGTTTTTCAATTTGCAGCCACCTTTTTTAATATGCAGAATTCAATACAAAAAGAGCAATATCCAATGCACCAACGCAATATTCCCTGAACAAGTCCTGTAAAGATGACTATTCTGTTTATAAATGGCAAGTATCCTGTACGACAGTATGATATTCTCTTCAAGAAACCACGTTCTTGCAAACATATATATATATATGATAATTTTCTTGACACATGTAGCATTCCTGTCCAAAAGGTTCAGTTTTCCTTGTTTGCTGTTGTTTTGACACACCCGTTCTTTCTCTAAAGGAACTATTTCATTTATTTAATATTGAAAAACAATGCGTTGGAACATGTTTGAACCATTTTGCAGAGGGTACAGTATTTCCCAAAATCATGACCACTTGTTCGCAATAGGAGTTCCTAGTGTCTGAGTATAGCCGCACACATAACATATTCAAATTCTTGGCTCACCACGAAGCATATCAACATTTTAGGTGAGTTGTTTTGGGTTAAGTCGGGACAGCAAAAAAAAACAGATACCTACTTTCCAGAAAGAAAACGAAAAAATACACCGCTTTAGGAGACCTACTTTGAATTGGGGGGAAACCAAACCCCCGGAGACCTGTGGATGGGGGGGAAGTGTTTTAGGAGACCTACTTTGGGTTTGCCCCTCAAAAAAGACATGTTTTTTTGTGTCCCCCATTCCTAAATAGGTCTACTTTTTTGAGTTTCTTTTGTTGTGTGTGTAGCAGGTGGCAGGTGGCTGACATTGCAACGAAACATTCAATGAAATAGACTCTGGGGGTGAGCTATAAGTTGTATTTATAGTATAAATTCTAAGAACCACAAATTCATATATTTCAGTTATCTTTCCTTTTCATTCACAAAAAATGCCGCCCAGCAGCAGGGGCAGGAGGAGCGAGGTTGGCATCACCCACCACTGTCTTACCTTGGCATCCCCTTGGGTGGTCCAACATGGCAATGGAAAACCATCCATTTACAATGTTTGGGCTGTTCCTTAAACTAGCACCGTGGCAACACTGAAGGGTTTGTACGGTAGGAGTGAAGACCTGGCCTTCATTCTTTAAAGCTTCAAAAGTTCCTTCATCTTCAGTTTTTGACGGAAGTCTCGCGCGAAACATTGGTCTTGCGATCGCACGCGCAACCTTCTCGTACCTTCTCGTCACTTGCTGCAGCGCGGTGCTCATTTTCATAATCAAGGAGATCTTGTCCAGAGATGGTTCCAAGAGTCCTGTTGTATAAAGATCTCCGACAAAGATCTTGCATAGAGATCTCTGATAGAGAGAGACCGTGTACCCACATCTTGCCCAGACTGAGACAGAGATCTGCCATAGAGTTCTTGCTCAGAGATCTGATCCTCTTTCCAAGAGACCTCTTATAGGGACCGTGTACAGAGATCTTGCAAAGAGACCTTTTGTAGAGATCTTGTACAGAGATCTTGTACAGAGATCTTGCCAGGACACCTCTTTGGGAGATTTTGTACAGAGACATTGCAAAAAGATCCATTGCAGAGATCTTGCCAAGAGGTCTCCTACATAGATCTTGCCAAGAGGGCTTTTGCAGAGAGCTTGCACAGAGATCTCATAAAGAGATATTGCCAAGAGACCTCTCTTAGGGACCTTGTACAGAGATCTTGCCAAGAGAACTTTTGTAGAGATCTTGCAGAGGGATCTTGCCAGGACACCTCTTAGGGAGATCTTTCACAGGAACATTGCATAGAGACCTGGTGAGATCTTGCCAAGGGGTCTCTTAGAGAGATCTTGCGAAGAGAGCTCTTATAGACAGTTCTACAGAGATCTCATAAAGGTATCTTGCCAAGAGACCTCCTATAGAGATCTGTGCAGAGATCTTGCTAAGAGGTCCCTAACAGAGATCTTGCCAACAGAGCTCTTATAGAGATTTCCAGGGGACCTCTTACATAGATCTTGTACAAAGACATTGCATAGAGATCTGTTGAAATCTTGCCAAGAGGTGTTGAAATCTTGCCAAGAGGTCTCTTACAGATATCTTGCCAAGAGGCCTCTTTTAGGGAGCGTGTACTAAGATCTTGCCAAGAGACCTCTTGTAGAGGTCTGTACAGAGATCTTGCTGAGAGGTCCCTTGCAGAGATCTTGCCAACAGAGCTCTTATAGAGATCTTGTACAGAGATCTTGCCAGGAGACCTCTTACAGAGATCTTGGACTGAGACCTGGGGAAGAGAACAGAGATCTTGCTCAGAAATCCTTTTTAGAGAGCTTGAACAGAGATATTACTTTGAGATCCCTTACAGAGATATTCTGTAGACACCTTGTACAGATAGCCTTACAAAGGGGTCTTGCACAGCAGCTTCCACAAAGAACCTGTCAAGCCGATCTTGCGCCCGATCTTCTACAGAGATCTTCACAAAGGGAACTTACAGAATCTAAGCTGGTATCTCTTCTTCCAGAGACCACCTTGAATGAACAGCATGCTTTCACTACTAGGGTCCCTCTCGTTCTGCTAGCTTGTAGCCACTTATGATTCTGGGTCCTTTCAACCTTTCCCTTTAGAAACCTAACTGCACACTGTTTGGGGTCTCTTGCCGGGATAGTCAGTTGTCTTTTCAAACAGATTTTCCATAGCCAAACCTTGTGGAGGGAAACTCAAACGCCAACCATTCCCCAAGGCCCCATCAGCTGAGCCCAAGATACACCATCGACGGTAGCTCCTGTAACCACCTTGAAGAGTATTCACCTCTGGATCTCATGGGATGCCAACAATGACTCTCCGCCATGACGATTTCGAGGGCATAAAAGATATCGTGTCGTGTTTAATGGGATGAGTATCATCCAACAGCCAAACGGACTGAAGAAAAATATTCTTTAAAATCTGAAAAAGACTTCATGATGTGAGTGGCGAAGCAAATTACTTCTCGGTCATCCATGATTGCTCGAGCTTTGGACCACCTGCAGCAAGGGACCTCCAAATTTATCGCAAACATCACCGTGGCCAGGGAAAAAAAACACCAACTGTCTCCGATGTTTGGAATCCCAAAACTGGGAATCTGATTGGCATTCCAACTCCTTGTGCTCCATTATTTCTGAATCCCCTTTTTTTTCGACATTGGGTTTGTCTGAACCTTGGTGTACCAACAAATGTGATGGATCAATGGTATTTCCCATTCAATTCCCATTCGGATTTTCATGGCTATACAGCAAAACACATGTACCCCCTGGTAAACTATCGTAACTATGGAAAATCACCATGCTATTAATGGGTAAATCCACTATAAATGGCCATTTTTCCATAGCAAACTGTTAGTTTAACAGAGGGTAAATCCACCATTTTCAGATAGAAATTTCCAACCACCTGAAAGCCACAGAGGGAGAAGAGCCAGGCCATAGAGCCCGAGCGCATGCCACCGCGCCAACCTGGGTGACCACCGGAGCCACCAATGGCGGCTGGCCGAAAAACTGAGAAGTGGACAATAAACCAATAGATGGCCACCAGCTTTGGCACCATGTTCCTGGAAAAAAAAACGCGTATCATGGGATGAAAATGCCAACATCCTACAGTCCACATTTTTAGGAAGGCAACACTAACCCAAGCTAACCCCATCCCCACAAGAGAATGAACAGCCCAAAGAAAAACAAGTTTTTCTCAGCTGACCAGGGCTTGACCAAAACTTGACCACCAGATCTCCTGCAAAGCATCCAGAAAATCCGCAAATTTCGGACCAGCCAGCTGCAACCCGCGGTGGATGGCCTGCAGGATGTCTCTTTTATTCCGAGAACCAGCACATGTTGGAGAAACATGCATGTTATCTTGGTGAAACCCAGCTGCTTGGATTATCCTGGATATATCCGATATCAATCTCTGGATGCCAACCGGGTCTACCCGTACCCCTTTGTTTCTCGTGTTTCTCTCCAAAGGATCATACACCCCCTGTGGACTCCGCCTCGTAGCGACCTTTGCGCTTGAAGTCTGTCCCCACAAGGGCCCGGGCTTCGTCGTCGAAGAGAGGAACATTTACGGCTCCTTGAAAAAAGATGGCCAATTCCAGGGTGAAGCATTGCAGCACTTCAACAACATAGTTGTTTTAGCTTGGTTTTTCTCATCCCTTACACACGATTCAAGAACCCATTTAGGATCGTTTCAGTGGCTGCACTTACTTTAGCTCCTTCATTTTCGCCATGAATCTAAACGGAAAACAGCAAAGCGTGGCAGCTCCGTTTTTCGCCTGGGATATGGCCAGCTTCGAACTCTGCGGGGGAGCGGACGTCGATGGTCAGCAAGAGTGGCCTAGGTGCAACGTCATGGCGGGACGGAAATTCATCAACCAGAATGGGTATATAATGGCGATAAAATGGGGATATAATGGGTATATAATGGGTATAGAATGGGTATATAATCATAATTGTACTTGTATATATATATATATTCATCATACCACCAGTATATCACCAGTAATTCATCACCAGTGACATAATGGAGATATAATGGGGATATACTGGTGATGCAATGGGATAATATCACATTATATCACTCCCATCATGTCTGGTGTGTTTTTTCTCAACAAAGCTCAACAGAAGCCAATCGGAGAATGGAGATCGCTCGACCCCGGAAGTTTCTTGGACTGGCAAAGTGCGTTCCTATCCTTGACAATTTCAACCATGTTCGGTCAAAAAATAACTTGCCTGCCACCAAAAATCATGGGATGTTGGATCACAACATGTCCATAGGCTGAGGTCCCTGAGGTTCAGGCTTGAGCTCCGCCAAATCTCTTGGGCCTTTCCCCCAAAAAGTTCAAAAGATACAAGACAGAAAAACAAAATTTGAAAAAACATAACTCACATGACCAAGATCAGCAGCAATGACCAAAAACCAGGGTTACCATCTACATCCACGATCCCCCGCCCCGCCCATTCCTTGCTGGGGTGGTCCATCCAGCGCGTCAAGGAAGGCCTCGATGGGTAGAGAAATCACTCCTGGCCGTCTGGGGAAACATTGGAAAAACATTGGATCATTGGGAAAACCATCAACTTGTTACATCTCTAGCAACCCCCTTTTGGAGGATAGAAAAGTAAAATTCTACGAAAGTCCGTTTTGAATTGACTCTTCTATCCTTTTTTGGGGCGTACTATACCACAGACCGGAAGACTTGCCGAAAACTTACGTGTCAAGTACATGTTTTGGTCCTTCAGAAGCGGGAGACGGAAGGGCTGGAAAATCCGCCATGGCTCACGGAGGCTCCATTGCCGGGCTCATGGCTAAATGGTCTGAGCACAACGGCGATGGCTTGGAGGTTTAAGTGATTTCAAGCCTTCCCAGCCCGTCAGATTTCGGCAAACCACACAAAAATCGAATGTTAAAACCAAGGTGAACATGGGTAAACTGTAGATGTGCATTTTTCTTCCATCAAAAAATTGTTCCCATGACATGTCGCTTCGCTGCGCCCGCCTTTGGGCGGCCTTTACCACCAAAGGTTCTTAGGCAAATGGCGATGTGACGCTGCCCTGCCTCAGACCGTTCGGTTCAAGCCGACAAAAAAAACTGGTCACCTTGACGAGTGACTAGTGGAATCCCCCTAGAAAATCCAAGAAATGTATGATGAAGACCAAAAATGACCAAAAAATTACCAAAAAATGACCCAAAAGTTGCATTTTTCGGATCCAAAATGTTGACCCCCAGGGCTTCCAGATTGCGAAGCAGCCAGTGCCTCCTCGTTGAAGGTCCGGCCACAGTGGGGACCTCACATGAAATGTGTCAAGACATGTCAAGACTCGTTGTCACCGGTCCCAAATGGCTGTTCTATCGCTGTCATTTGCACCGGTCCGCACCTTTGATTGTCGGAATGGTATCGTAAATATTTTGTAGATCGCAAATGGATTTCTGGGTCCATCTCCATCTGAGGCTTCTGACATTTCACCATGTCAGATTCCATGACGTTTCCTCCAGAGGCCAAGTTGGCAGCATTCAACTCCTTTTGTATTTCAGCGGCCTGACGAGGGAACAAAAAATCATCCAAAACATCGACACAAGGCTGGTCACAAATGAAATCATGAGAACCTTCTGGCGCGTTTTTCTGAAATCAACAACTGCGATTCATCGAATCTTCCTTGAATCAATCAGCCCCATGTGAGTCGCACCACTCCATATTGATGTTGATCTTGGAGGTCCACTAGGGTAGAGCAAAGGTTTTTTGTACTTTAGAATTCTTTAGATGTTTCAAAAGTTTTCAACCTCTCCAGTTTTGTCATGATTTCTTTGAACATTTTTCTGGTAAAAATAACCATGGCAAACCAATTTTGGCCCGATGTCGGGCCTTCTTGGCCGCTTCCGAATCCCCCGAGGCTCCCTTGGCAGCGAGAATCGCCTGGCGAAAGGCTAAGGACCTTGGTGCCGCAAAGATATGCAAAGATGGGTTGGGGAAAGTACCTCCAACTTGGAGGGGATTTTGAGCAATTTTCATGGAAATATGACACATCTAAATTGAGGGGAAACTAAGGGTAGAAACCATCTAAAATGGTGGCTTTGTGTCCTGATGTTTTGTAAGGCAAAAGTTCTGGTTCTAGTGGGTTGTTGCTGGGAAGCTCCCAGTTTTAGCTCGCGCACTGCAGAAACTCTGACCGAAACCTGAGGCAACAGACTGTGCTTTCCACTTCGGGACAGAACCTTTCTCCTGCCAGATTCGCTGGATTTGAAGGATGCACGGCTACAAACAACTTATAGTTACCATTTGCTACCATGATTTACGACCAATTTACCATGGTATGCCATGATTTACCACCATATCTAGCTCCAATTCTCTGACTCAGACCACTGGGCACCTTCTTCGTCGAGGGCTTCTCTGAATGGTTCTCCTTTGCGCGCTGTTTCTCACTCCTGGCGCCGTTCCAAAACTGAAGCGGACTTCCAAAAATGAAGACATCATGAGACATCTCTTGAGAACCAAAAAATGGGGACATCATGAGTTTTCCATGATTTTCCATGGTTTTCCTACATGTTCCTTGACTTTTCCAACATTACGGCGGCGTTCGCCAAACTCGCCGGGGAGGCTTGGTGGCGTTCGCGATGAGCTCCTGTGCATTGTCAAACTCCCCCAGACGATTGGCTGCGCCTGAGAAACTCTCAGCGCTTTCGCTGAAGAACTGACTTAAAATATGGTGCCCCATTTGTTCCAGTTTATCATCCCCAGTACTATGCTTATGGAGGCATACCCCATTTTCAGACCCCATGTAACTGATATGACCAAGAATCTTTGGACAACAAAGGAAAATGATGGAAAATCGTGGCCAATGCTGCGAACGCCCAAGAAAAATGGTGGGAAAACCACGGAAAATGCTGGGACAACCCATGGAACATGCTGGGACCAAGGAAAATGTTGGACAATCAAGGAAAATGGTAGGAAAACCCAAGAAAAATGCTGGAAACTTCATGGAAAATGCTAGGAAACCAATGCAACGCCCCCAAATTCCATGGCAAAAAAATCTCCATGACCACTTTTTGAAACGACCATAAATGGAGGATAAATAGCACCGTTTTAGACAAAACCATATCCCACCTGAGCATTTAATGGTAAAAAAGTATGAACAATCACAGCATTTTGGGGTTAGCCTATTTCCAGACTCCTTGAAACATGTCGTAACGCATGTTGAATATATGGTTCAAGATGGGATATACCCAAGGTGCGGAAGCAAAATTCCGTCCCTGGGAGCGGAGCTGTTGAACTGCTTGCGCTTGTTTTGAAAGACCTGAACAGCTGATGCTGATCAGGCTAGGCCATTGCTGGACCAATTCTGTTGGAATGTGTCCGAGCCTGCTGAGCCTAGTCGGTTGTCCCGATATCCCCATGCGTTTTTGAAATGGGGCTGTCTTAAAGCGACCCATTCTTGTCATCCAAGTGATGTGTCTTTAATGGAAACAGCACCCAACAAAAAAGGAAATATCATCGCGACCTGATCCATGTTCAAGTTCTGTGAAACAAATCCCCAAAATAACAACATCAATCCCAACCTTGGTTGAAACATGCGGCCGGGCGCCACACCTGCTTACAGATCTTCTTGTGCTTCTCCAAGCCTAGTGAGAACAGCACCAGTGCGGACCGGGGGATTCATGGTTTATGGTTGATTTAGGGTTGGTTCCGGGTTTAGGGTTGGGTCAATTTGGGCTGTTTTCACAGGATAAAATCGTTTGTTGAAGGTTTCAGTTTAAGGCTCGACAGAGCGCAAATTATGGATGTGTTTTTTTTTGGGACATGGTTCAAAGTGTAATTTTGGCACTGCTTTAGGTAAGTGCAAGGAGACGCCCTCCAGCGATAAATACTATGTATATAATATCATATGTGTGTACAAACGAATCCAACTGGATAATTTGCTACTTGCTGATGTTTACCAATACGATGCTTACCATGCGACCATCCATTGGATTTGCTGCTGCTTCACAGTGCTTCACAGTGCTTCAGACTTCGAATGGAGGTCTTGGGTCCAGACTCTCTGCTTTGAAGCTGCGATGACAGTCAGGACATGGAACTAGAGGCCTGAGAGCCGGCGTCGATCGGAAACCAGAATCCCGTGGAATCAAAGGTGAAATCCGGTGAAGTTTTTTCATACTGCTAAAAACGTCACATGAGGTGAACACGGTAGGCGATGAGCCGAAGAGATTTGGTGGCCATAGCGATGAGTGAAACTGTTCTGGAAGAATTTTGGGAATCAGCAGCGCATGGTTTAGTAATTTGAACAGATTGGGGACCCACAAAGAGGGTGCAAAAAAAACTTCGGCTCTACTTCGTCAAACTCCATAGTCGGGTCGTCCAAACCCTGGGTGTGTCAGTGCCTGGGCATGAAATGATGAGAATCGATTGGACTTGGGGGTACATTGTATCCCTATTTCCAAAGCCACACTTCTCCTGATCTTCAGATGATTTTCCCACGGGTTTTCCGAACCCACCATCATCGTCTTCCATCTCGTCAAGCAGACCATCAATGGACTTGCTGGCGCCTTTCGGCTGCGTCTCTCGCGCCTGGTCCATTTTGACAAAGTGGCTGGGAAGAGCTTTGCCAAAGAAGAGACCGAAAATGAAACACCTCAATTTCCTAAATCATCCTCAAAGTGAACATGTGAACATCAGGAAACGTGGCAAATGCTCGCAACATAACGAAGCTGCTTGCAACAGTCGCGCCTGCGGTGGATAACCTTCCTCCGGACGCCTGGAGCCACAACATGTGGCGAAGAATTCTCCAAGAAAAGCAGATAAAAGATGGCAAATGTTCATCAGTTTTCATCAGTTTTTATGTGCAAATTCTCCATCTTTCCGAAGTTTCCGAAGTTTCCGAAGTCAGGGTACCCCCAGTTCTCCATGTTTTTGGGTGATTTTCCATCAAAAAAAACATCCAGCTATTGGGAATCCCGGAGGAACCCAGCTTACCTTGTCGCATCAGGTTTGGGCGCCAAAGGTGGATCCTAAGGCGGACATGGGAAAAGTGATGTGGCTATGATGTTTACAACATGTTACATGTTGAATGAATCTAAATAATGTTTAATGATTCATGATATGTATATATGTACATGTATAATAAATATATGTCTATATATATATATATATATATATATATATTCAGATACTTCAGGAGGAACAAAGTTTATGCTTCTTGAAAGCTTTACAAAACATCCATTTCGGTCAACCGCGGATCACATTTTCAAGTCCGTTTTGTGTGGCAGGTGTGGGACGGTCAATTATCACCCTCTTTTAAATATATAAGATTTTTAAGCTTTTGGAGGGTGGGAATGCGACCGGGGTACGACAAAGCTCCATGCTAGGATTCTACGGGGAAAGGGTGTGCAGAAGAAGAAACCAACCATGTTCACTGTGGGAAGCTCAACAAGCGCAACTTTTGTCCTACCAGTGCGTCACGGCACATGTTTAGCAGTGCAGACAAAGAGGATGGAGACAGGCATGTTATGTGGAGTAATGACCAAGCTGAAGCAGGTGCAAAAATCAGCAAATGACTTGGCAATCCCCACTCAATAAGCTTTTTGTACCCTGCGTCACGGCACATGTGTAGCAGTGCAGACAAAGAGGATGGAGACAGACATGTTATGGAGTAATGACCAAGCTGAAGC